GAGTGAATGGGGTCAGGTGAGGGGGTCAGGACAGGAGTGAGAGGGTGGAATTGGTACCCAATTACTGCTTTTGAATATGCTAATGAGATGCTAATTAACCGGGAATTAATTGGGAATTATGTGGGGATTTATTGGGGTTACCTGGAGACAGGTGGGGTTTGGGTTCACCTGGGTGTGAGGGTACAAATGGCACTTCGGGGAGACCGTGCTCACCGGTAATTACCGGTAGTAATTACTGCTACCGGTATGCTAATGAGATGATAATTAGATGATAATTAACTGTTAATTAATTAGAAATTATGTGTGGGTAAATTGTAGTACAGGGCTCACCTGTATGGGAGTGAATGGGGTCAGGTGAGGGGGTCAGGACAGGTGTGGGAGCGTGGAATTGGTACCTAATTAGTGCTCTAAATATGCTAATGAGATGCTAATTAGATGCTAATTGTATGGTAATTACGAGATGGTTAATTGTAGTACAGGGCTCACCTGTATGGGAGTGAATGGGGTCAGGTGAGGGGATCAGGAATGGTGTGAGAGGGTGGGATTGGTACCCAATTATTGCATTGAATATGCTAATGAGATGCTAATGAGATGGAAATTATTTGGGAATTAATTGGGAATTAATTGGGGTTACCTGGGGACAGGTGAGGTTTGGGTTCACCTGGGTGTGGGGGTACAAATGGCACTTCAGGGAGACCGTGCTCACCGTCTGGTCAGCGCCTAATTACTGCTACCGGTATGCTAATGAGATGCTAATTAACTGGGAATTAATTAGAAATTACGTGCGGATTTATTATAGTACAGGTGTGGTTTGGGCTCACCTGTATGGGAGTGAATGGGGTCAGGTGTGGGGATCAGGACAGCGATGGGAGGGTGGGATTTGTACCCAATTACTGCTTTTGAATATGCTAATGAGATGCTAATTAACCGGGAATTAATTGGGAATTATGTGTGGATTTATTATAGTACAGGTGTGGTTTGGACTCACCTGTATGGGAGTGAATGGGCTCAGGTGAGGGGGTCAGGACAGGGGTGGGAGGGTAGGATTCATACCAAATTATGGATTCTGTTATGCTAATGAGATGCTAATGAGATGCTAATGAGATGCTAATTAACCGGGAATTGATTGGGAATTAATTGGGATTTATTGGGGTTACCTGGGCACAGGTGAGCACAGGTGTGGTTGGGTGTGAGGGTACAAATGGCACTTTGGGGAGACCGTGCTCACCGTCTGGTCAGCGCCTAATTACTGCTACCGGTATGCTAATGAGATGCTAATTAACCGGGAATTAATTGGGATTTAATTGGAGTTACCTGGGGATAGGTGAGCACAGGGGGGGCTGGGTGTGAGGGTACAAATGGCACTTCGGGGAGACCGTGCTCACCGTCTGGTCAGCGCCTAATTACTGCTACCGGTATGCTAATGAGATGATAATTAGCTGGGAATTAATTGGGAATTATGTAGGGATTTATTATAGTACAGGTGTGGTCTGGGCTCACCTGTATGGGAGTGAATGGGGTCAGGTGAGGGGGTCAGGACAGGAGTGTGAGAGTGCTCAATTTGCACAATTTCTGATTTAAAATATGCTAATGAGATGCTAATTAACTGGGAATTAATTAGAAATTACGTGCGGATTTATTATAGTACAGGTGTGGTTTGGTCTCACCTGTATGGGAGTGAATGGGGTCAGGTGAGGGGCTCAGGACAGGGGTGGGAGCGTGGAATTGGTACCTAATTAGTGCTCTAAATATGCTAATGAGATGCTAATTAAGTGTTAATTAATTAGAAATTACGTGCGGATTTATTATAGTACAGGTGTGGTTTGGGCTCACCTGTATGGGAGTGAATGGGGTCAGGTGAGGGGGTCAGGACAGGGGTGAAAGGGTGGGATTGGTACCTAATTAGTGCTTTGAATATGCTAATGAGATGCTAATGAAATGGGAATTAATTTGGAACTATATGGTGATTATGTGCCGGTTAATTAATGGAGCAGACGAGGTTTGGTCTCACCTGTATGGGAGTGAATAAGTCCGGGTGAGGGATTCAGGACAGGTTTGGGAGTGTGCCCAATTAGTAATTAAAATATGCTAATGAGATGCTAATTATGTGGTAGATTCCTGGGAATTATATGCTAATTACATTATAGTTAATTACAGAGTAGGTGGGGTTTGGACTCACCTGTGAAGCGGTGAATGGGTCTGGGTGCAGGGATCAGGAGGGGTGGGAAGGTGCCCAATTTTTAATTAAAATATGTTAATGAGATGCTAATTGTGGGGTAGACACCTGGGAATGATATGCTAATTACGTGATAATTAAGCGTTAATTACGTGAGTATTTGGGGTTACCTGGGGGACAGGTGAGACCCTCCTGAAAACGTGCAAAGAGCGCTGAGAGACAGTAGTAAAGATGCAAATGAGATGCAAATGAGATGAGAATTGGATGCGGACGAGATGCAAATGAAATGCAAAAAGAGACAGAAATCAAATGCAAATCAGATGCAAATGAGATGCAGATGAGATGCAAATAAGATATATATGTGAAATAAACTAGATGTGAGCAATATGTGAAAGGGATGCAAATGAGATGCAAATGAGATGCAAAT